CAAGAGGAACAGAGAAGGAACACAAAGGAGAAACAAGAAGCTAACACTGTAGAAAAATAAATGAAAAATAAAACTCAGTTGGACAATGCGATTGAGATTTATAGAGGCACAGAAAGAGTAGAGAGGAAAAAAGGAAAATGATATCCAAAAAAGAAACTAGCCAAAAATAAAGAGAGAAACAACAGGAAGTGGAAAAGAAAAATTTTGAGGGAATCGAATTTTTTCTATCACTTTTCTATCGAAAAGTGATAGAAAAAATTCAGAAGAAAAGATATAAGACAAATAAAAAGAAAAAGAGGTGGGGAATCTAGGAACAGGGAATTAGTAAAATGAAATGAAATACATTAATCATAGCAATAGTATGTATCTAATTAAGATGTGAGTGAACTATACTAATATTTTTAAGTGTGCAAATTAATTATGTTAAAAATACATAAAAAATTGAATTTGAAGACACATGTTACTTATAGAAAATAGATGAAAAGGAAATGATAAATTTGGTTTATCTCCAAAGGGAAGAAAAATGACCCTGTTTATGTATGTAATAAAAATTAAAAGTCGGAAAATATGAGAAGAAAAGAAATATGGCTATAATTGAAAATGAAATGGAAATTTAAGGTAAAATGAATTATTTATATGTGAAAACATTAAAGGGGGAAAACCGGACAACATTCTGTTTACATAAGAATTTTAATTATGTAACAAAAATAAAAAACTTTCTTTGCAAAAAAAAAAGAAAAAAGAAATGACAGTCTCCAAGCGAAGGAAAACAAGGGTGGGGCTGAAAGGGGCTTCCGACTCACCTGGAAAAAATGCAGAGAAGAGCAACTAAGATGATCAAAGGCCTGGAGACTAAAACATATGAAGAACGGCTGCAGGATTTGAGTTTGGCTAGTCTAAAGAAAAGAAAAATTAGGGGTGACAAGATAGCAGTCTTGCAGTACTTGAGGGGCTTACAATGGTGGGATTCAAGTAATTTAACAACCGGTTCTCTGCCCTAATGATTTCTTCCAACAACCAGTTCACCAAACTGCTCAGAAAGTTAACAGCCGGTTCTCCCAAAGTGGTCCGAACTGGCTGAGTCCCACCACTGGGCTGCCACAAAGAAAAGAGGGTCATCTTATTCTCCAAAGCACCAAAAGGCAAGACAGGAAGCAATGAATGGAAATTATTCAAAGCGAGAAGCAACCTGGAATTAAGGAGAAACTTAATGAGTATTGGTATAGGTTCTCCTGCCAGAGCAGGGGGTTAGACTAGAAGACCTCCAAGGTACCTTCCAACTCATTCTATTCTATTCTATTCTATTCTATTCTATTCTATTCCATCTATCCTATATTCTATTCTATTCTATTCTATTCTACATTCCACTATCTATTCTATTCNCTTCTTTCCCCTGTCTTCCTCTCATTCTCTCTCCCTTTCTTTTTCTGTTGTTATAGGTGTCTCTTTCAGATTTCAGTTTATGTTTCTTTGGGATGGTGTTTCCGCAAACCCAAATATAATTTAGTATCATTTCTTATTCCCCTACCCTTGCTAATCTACCCTAACTATGCCCCCCCTTTATATCTTGCTCTTGAATGTATACTTATATATTTAATATTTCCTTTTCTGTTTCCCGGAGGGGGGCATATTTTAAAGGCTGCCTCTTAATGCGCCTCCTTCGGGCTCTGCTCAAAGGTACCTTGGACTCCCGGGAACCCTTTGCCAAGGTCCTTATCTCTGCTTCCAGGTGTCAACGCCTTTTGGACAGCCTTAATCTGCCAGGTCACTTCGAAGGGAAAAGGTGCTTTTGGCTGATCTCCAACTGGAAGAGGATCTAGGCGCTGAGAAGCGAAGTTCGTGCCAATACACGCCCCCTCCCCACCCCGCTATTGGCAGGGAAAGCACTGGGGGGGGGGGAGGTGGCTGAGAAGGGAGCCGCGTTCTGGGGATGGGCCGGCCGGGGGTCGGGGCAGGAAGCTTCAACGACGCCCGCCAGGCTCACTTGGGGCGTCCAGTCCGGAGGTTGCGGGGCCGCGTTTTCCCATCGTGGCGCGGCGGAGGGCCGGAGCGGCTTCGTGCCTCGCCTGGCTTTCCGAAGAGCGGGCCGAGGAGCTCCGTTGGTGCGGTGGGCGCCCACCGGGTCCCAGCCGAGGGAGCGGGGAGATCCCGACTTGCACGCGGGAGCCAGGGCTCCTGTAGGCTTTCTCGGCGCCACTGCAAACAGCGCAGGGACGGCCCCCTCCCGGGGCCCGTCCAGGCAGCCGGAGGCGGCGCCGGAGGTGGGACGGGGAGGAACCGTCGGGGCCAGGGAAGAGGCGGACGCTAGGGGGCGCAGGTATAAATAGCCGGCCCGGGACGCCTCGGCCAGCCCAGAGACAGCCCGTCCCGATCTCCAGCGCCGCCGCCACCACCACCGGACCCCCGCCGGCCTCCGACCATGCGCGGCAGTGCGCTTTAACTATTCGATGGAGCCGGGCAACTTCTACGAGGCGGACTCGCGGCCCCCGATGCCCAGCGNGTATTGGGGGTGGGTTGCTCCCAGCATTACTGCTGGTTTGGTGCGTGCAAAACATTTTTTTTGCTCGTGCGAATGCCAGATGCACACTCCGTGTGCTTGCACATTTGCAGAAAAATAAGTCTGTGCATGCGCAAAATGTTAAAAATCAATAAATTTGTGCAATTACAATTGTTCTGCGCATGCGCAGAACCACAAATCAAGATGGCGGCCCCGTAGGAGAACCTGTTTGGGGATGTGGCAGGCCTGGGTCACTGCTGGTCCCAATGACCCAGGCTGCCAAACTGCTACTGGTTCAACTGAACCTGTCCAAACCGGTAGGAACCCACCTCTGGATTGTATCAGAGGTGGGATTCAGCAGGTTCTGGCCAGTTCTGGAGAACCGGTAGTGGAAATTTTGAGTAGTTCGGAGAAGGGGTAAATATCACCTTTGGCTGGCCCCGCCCCCATCTATTCTCTGCCTCCCGAGTCCCAGCTAATAGGGAGTTAATGGGGATTTTACAGTAATCTTCCCCTGCCACGCCCACAGAACCAGTAGAAAAAAATTTGAATCCCACCACTGGATTGTATCTTGCATCTACAATCTAGGATGTGACCGTAGGAAGATGAGCCAGCCACAGGCCATAGCTGCAAAAAAGGCTAATGAGATTTTTTTCAGGTGTCCTTCAGTTTCCAAGTTTCAGGGAGTGGTGATTGCTTGGTGTTCTGTGTCGGTTGGACCCAGCCTCCAATGTTATGACCCATTCCAGCTGCCACACTGAGCACCTCTTGTTAAGAAAGGTGCGGATTCTGGCACAAGTGCTTGGAAACAACCTCTTTTTAAAGAAGAGTCTGGACAACCACTTGTCTGAAATGGAATAGGGCAGGGGGTGTGAAACTCAATGATGTCACTCATTGAGGCTCTGTTTCCAGCTGCGATGGTCTCCTGAAGCCCTCTGCCAGTGAGAACAGAGCCCAGGAGGGCTGCACGTGGCCTTCCTGAGCTCCATTTTCATTAGCAGAGGGCTGCAAGAGGCTGTCATAGCCGAAAACGGAGCCCGGAAGGCCCATGGGTAGCCCTCCCAAGCTCCATTCTTGCTAGTAGAGGCAAAACAGAACATGAAAGTTGACTGGCTAACTTACCTCCAAATCAAAACTAAATACAATAATGATACTAAATTATATGACAT